CCCCCTCGGCCCCCCCCCTCGCCCCCCTAACAGATGTTGGACATCAAGGTGGAGACCGGGCCCCCCGGGTTGTGGAAGATGGCCTCGCAGGTCGCGGCACACGAGGACGAGATAGCGTCCATGAGAACCGGTCTCATGGCGGCGAAGGTAAGGGGGGAAGAGGGGGGGAGGGGGGGAAAAGAGGGGGAGAAGGGGGGAAAGGGGAGGTGTGTGCGTGTTTGTATGTGCGTATATTGTGGTCTTGTGGTGGTGAGGGCTGAGTGTGGGGGTTTTAGGGGGGAGAAGGAAGGGTAAGGGTCTGCCTGGGGGTTCGTGGTGGGGGTGTGGATAGGAGCGCTGAGAATAGGATCCAGTGTCTTCTCACATACTGTGTTTTGGTCCCCTCCTCTCTTCACCTCTACCCCCCGTCGGACCGGCCCCTTACCCTTTCCCCCCTCCCTCTTTCCCTCCCCGGTCAACCTCTCCTTTCCCACCTCCCCATATCTATATAAACCCTCCCCATATTATATTATATTATATTATATTATATTATATTATATTATATTATATTATATTATATTATATTTTATTTTATTTTCCCCCTCTCCCGCCCAAACCCTGAAACCAAGTCGACCAATGAGGAGCTCACTCGGCGAATGGATGACGTGTTATCTGGCTTAGCTCACCAGCGGGACACATCAACACAACTCAGGGAGGAGTGCAGGATACTGGCGGACAGGCTGGTGAGGAAGTTGCGGGTTGTACAACATGTACGGCAGGAGACAAAAATCCGTTTAGGACGGGTGTTGGAGGGAGGGGGGGGGGGAGGAGGGGGATAGGAGCGACCACGGGCAGGTGCACTTTGGGGGGGGTGGCCGGGGTTGATGAGGGGAAAAGGGCGTTGGGAGGTGTTCGGGACGACAAATGGTGTTGAGGATGTATGCGAATGGGGAGAAAGGGGGGAGAAGGGGGGGAGAAAGGGGCAGAGAAGGGCGAAAGGGGGGAGAAGGGGGGGGGGAAAGGGGAGAGAAGGGCGAAAGGGGGGAGAAGGGGGCGAGAAAAGGAAAGGAAAG